TTAATGTCTATATTGCCATGAGGCATTACAATTTTCTTGCCTGGGATTTTCCTTTTGGTGACGTAATCAAAATGGCCGATTTGGATGTGGGCTGAGATGGATATGTACTTGATTAATGGTAGCATGTTATTGTTAGCCATTAGCCGCAGCTAGCAGTTCAAGGCTGACGTCACGTTAATGATCATAAACAACGTAAATAAATACATAAATAAAGCATAGAGAAGGGGCGCAGCGACGGCAGGTCAGCGTCGTGCGCGCGCTTGTGCGGGCTCGCACGGTGGTATCGATACTTTTGAAAATGAGTATCGTATCCGGATACAACATTTTAGTATCGATACTTTTTTAAGTATCGATACTTTTGACAACCCTAGTTGATTGTTAGGAAAATCTATTATGTCTTGTATAGTCAGGTTAAAACTGAAAGAAAAAAGCAGTCTGACATTTGATCCATTATTGTGACAGTCTGAGGTTAAAGTAGGTGAGATTCTGCCAGAGAGGAAACAGTGCTAATTCCAACATGTGCTTCCCTCTAAATGCAAACTGGTCCATACAGCAGACCTAGAAACTGCTGTTGGTGGTCTGATTTTTATGGGCTACGCTGCTTTGCTTCTTCTTGTTTCCTACTGGTGGTTGGCTTTGGGCGCAGTAACGCAACACACGCGAATCGAACCGAGACAGTCCAACCCAACGGTTCGGACGGTTTTCAGAAACCGTCCCATCCCTACTCGATACCGATACTCAGGAAAATACTCGATACTCGATAACATTTTCGATGCCACAAGGATAAAAAAAAGACCCCAAAATTTCACTGAATTGTGTCTTTCATTTCAAACTGACCTGTTACTGATATTATCGTGACTGGTGGCCCACATTAATAACCCTAATCTTCCAGCCTTCATAATTGTGAGAAATATTTTTTGGTCAAACTTGTTTGGACTTATTGTACATTAACAAAATATGTATAGAGTTTAATAAAGTGTCTGAAAGATTAATTTAACTATTTTTAAATTAATGTCTATATTGCCATGAAGCAATTAGGATTTTCTTACCTGGGATCTTCCTATTGGTGACCTAATGAAAATGGCCGACTTGGATGTGGGCAGAGTTGGATATGTACTTGATTAATGGTAGCATGTTATTATTAGCCATTAGCCGCAGCTAGCAAGGCTAACGTCTTGTTAACGATCATAAACAACGTAAATAAATACATAAATAAATCAGCGCGGTGGTATCGATACTTTTGAAAATGAGTATCGTATCCGGATACAACATTTTAGTATCGGTACTTTTTCCAGTATCCATACTTTTGACAACCCTACCTGCAGGTGAACGAGGACGCGGCGGTGGGCAGCAGCGTTTTGTCGGTGACGGCGGTGGACCGGGACGCCAACAGCGTGGTCACCTACCAGATCTCCGGGGGCAACACCAGGAACCGTTTCGCCATCAGTAGCCACGGCAACGGCGGCTTGCTGACCCTGGCCCTTCCGCTGGACTACAAGCAGGAGCGGCAGTACGCGCTAACGCTAACGGCTAGCGACGGCGAGCGGGCGGACGCCGCGCAGGTCTTCATCAACGTGACGGACGCCAACACGCACCGGCCCGTTTTCCAGAGCGCCAACTACCAGTTCACGCTAATCGAGGGGCGCCCCGCCGGACACAACGTGGCGGTGATTAGCGCCACCGACGAGGACACCGGCGAAAACGCGCGCATCACATACCTGATGGAGGACGGCGCGCCCCAGTTCCGGATCGACCCGGACACGGGCGCCATCACCACCACGATGGAGATCGACTACGAGGAGCAGGCGTCCTACACGCTGGCCGTGGAGGCGCGGGACAACGGCATCCCGCAGAAGTCGGACACCACCTACGTGGAAATCATCGTCCTGGACGCCAACGACAACGCGCCGGCCTTCCGGGCGGACGCCTACCAGGTAGGGAGGGGTGGGACGGTTCAC